ATATTTTTGAAGGTACACTATATTAAAGTTACAACTACATACGGTACGCTCTATTGTGTTCAATCAGGAAACCGTGTTTCACCATGTACATATATATTTCTCTTTATATATAGTTATATTTGAAGGCAAAAAACTAACAGTGATTTTCCCCGACATAATATAATTCTTGACACATAATGAACAAATATTAGGAAATCAGATTCTGTATCTATTTATCACAGCCCATTTAACAGGCTTTCTGACCTCGTCGACTGCAGCACCTTTAGTTATGGTCACAGGCAAGTTAGTAATAATACCCGATTGTAGTATTAAGAGTGTTCTGTTATAAAGTTGAAGACTCGCATAAAGCCATCTGTCGCGTATTGTAAATCACCGATATTTCCCACTTTATTTCCACTGTTAGCACAATATATTACAAACTACACAGTACAAGAAATTTAGTGACTTAACCGTGATGTGTTATTTATTATGTTATGTTATAGAGAGTCCTTCATTATAATGACCTTAATATAGAACTAGGTCTACTTAATTTACCGAAATATGTATATTGGACCTATTAAAGTTGGTATGCGTTAAGACATTGGAAAGTCTATTACGGGCATGTATTAATATTATCACAAACATATACAAATTGGAACATTTTATCAACTTATTTGTTCACTTATTTATTATTATTTATAGAAATAAGATGAGCATTATGGAACAATGGTAATTACAGATACTGATTTAATGCAAGCCGAAATTACGAAGTGAATGTGACTTAAGCTATTTTACGGCATACCGTAACCTATACAAACACCACACTGTAAAATTATTTAGCACGTCATTGGTATACAAAGAAATGTATAGGCCTAATTTAAAAAACCTTTAATCGAATTTTTTAAAGACTTATCATGCGTTGAATCCTGGTAACTGTGATTTGAACTAGGATATTTTTGCTGTTAATGCAAACGCCATAACCAACCCAGCTAACAGAGCTGCGTCAGTATCAATTCGATTGGAAGCAATTTATTTCATGTAACTGTTGTTAACTAGTACTGTTCCCGCACATACAAAAATAGTAAAAGAAATTGGTCATCAATTGGAATTCCTCTCCCATGTGTTCCTGCTGCATGGAAAAGTGCCCTTATACATCAGGAAACCTGATTTCGATTTTCAATTAGGGAAATGTATTACTCGCTGATTCCTCACATTTCAAAATGTACATTTATACCTCAGTATACGTGTATATATAAAATATACACAATACGCCATTTTCTACTTATGTAGTGCAAAAACGCATTGTATGTTGAATTTTGTAATGTACGTTACTGTACACAGATTATAAGTGTGAATGATAATTTTATTTTATTCGAACACTGTATTTACCTTTCTTTGATGATTTATGTATA